ATTCTAGAATGAACACAAATTATAACACAAAAACAATAAAACTTTAAGATGAAATAGCTTAAATCTCATAACATTATATATCTATATATATATATATATTTATTATTTTTATCATATTAACCTTGCACCCATGCCTGGCTAACAATACAGAAGTTACAATGACATGGCTCACGTGCACTAATGTTACCGTAGCAAATAACATAAAGGTGACCTTTGGTCTGTACAAAGCAACTTGTCTCGGCTGTGTTTTAGTCGACTATTATTTTGTAACATACAGTCATATTTCAATTATTATACATTATATATGTATATAGATTATTGCTTTTTTGAAACAAGTTCTTAGTTATTTTTTCTAAAACATAGAATAGTAAATAAAGTAAAGCACACAATTATCTATTATAGTTACGACCTTTGTACTTGTTTGCTGCTTGACGTAGGTTGCTAAGCCTTTAAAAATTTTGAACGTGGAGGATATGAAACAAAATATTTTTTTAGGTTTTATATATACTTTTGAATAACTAAAAAATAATTAATTACTACATCAATACCATAGAATTCTACTATAATTTATCAAGCTTGGTAACTAAGCTGTATTTGGGTCTAAAAAAATGAAATTTCGAGCAGACTAAAGACAAAACCTACACCATTGAAATCTTGGTTCAAAAGTAAGAAATGGTGCTAGCCACATTAGAAAGGCTGAGAAAATCACTAGGGGACATTCTGAGCTTCCGATTGGTTATTCATGTCACATTTAGAAGTAAGTGTGTATAAGGGAGCATTTCCAATAATGGAAGGAGGTAAGCAGGGTACCACTGTGTTTGATTTATTACGTGAGCAATATCTTAGCAAATAGAAAGATAAGAGCTTGTTATTTCATATTCCAGCTTGTAATTTGAGTTTCTAATTCATACGAAACTATAGACTTAGTATTTTGACTTCATAAACATCTAATTTGAACCAGTGATGCATTCAACATACCACATGACACACAAAAATTGATGTTTCTATTTTTTTAATATTTACTTTTAAATTAACAAATTAAGTAATGTATAGTTCTAAAATTTGAATTATAATCTACAGTTTGATACCAAACTTATTGACGTAAATTCATGAAATAGTAGTTCAATAAAATTTTGAATGCAAATCAAACAAACAAATAGATGTCATGGCCTTTCTCCCGTGACCCATCTCGAAAGGGTTAATAAATTTAGATGATTCTTATTTTACTATATGGGTCAAACCTGAATACTACTCAGAAAATAATAAATACTGAAAAAGTCAATACAGAATTATTGTGTCAGATTACGCTACTTTCAACTACAGAAAATATACTGGAGCTTTTAGTTGACTCGACTGTAACTAGGTCTGTACATTTTCTGTGTATTAAAAAGGTTATCTGGTATATTTTGCATAGTCTATTAATATTTTTGATAAGAGTTGTGAATATTTTGAAGCATATTTTAAGTAAGACAGGTACATTGTAGTAAAATGAAGTATAGAGTTTGTCCATCACATAACAATCTTTGTAACAATATGCATCTAAGATCTTTATCATCATCATCACTTGTCTATATAATGTTTCAAACTAAAGGTATGCTAGTCAAAAAACTTTGTTTTTAGGGATAAATTCATGGATATTTACAAGAAAATTGAGGGATGTTTCTAAAAATATACTAGGGTAAATATCAATACAAATATTCAGTTACTAATTGTAACTGCACTTATATAATAGCATTAAAGATATCTTGAAATAAAGTGCACGTTAGTAGTAACAGGATTATTACAATATCACTATTACATCAAAACCATAAGTCTTCCTTATATGAAAAAGACTAGATTATTTACCATTTGTATGGCATTGTGAATAACAATGTCCTAACTTTAAATCTGGTGGTTTCTTGTAATTTTATTCTAAAAGAACAACAACCTTGTCTAAACAATTTTCTGTTGAACCTACATCCATGTAATCACCAGTTATTTACACCAGGTCAAAGTTAACTTCATCACATCCCAAAATGACCAAAAACAGAATCAATTTTTTAAAATTTAGAACTACTTAGATTTTAGGGAAGACTAAATATTATGAGATGTTGCAGTTGTTGTGGTTTAGCACATCTACTAATTAGTTATATAACAATGTTTCTATTACAAAAACAGCACATACCCTCATTGGATGGATATCTCCATATGGTGGCTTGCCTTCTGCCATTTCAAGACCAGTGATCCCTAAGCTCCAGATGTCAGCTACACAGTCATAACCAATCTCCTGGATCACCTCTGGAGCCATCCAGAAAGGTGTGCCAATTACAGTGTTACGTTTGGCCATTGTGTCCTATAAAATAATACATATGATTGCATAGTTAACATTAACCATTTCTAAGACTACTACTCAAGTTGTAGCAATCATACTATTCCTACTGGCAATCATGCCATAATTGCAATAAATAGTATTGTGTACTTAACCAATACCAGCTTTGAAACTAATCAGAGAGTTATACCAATTACAGCTAATGTGTCCAACAAAACAATAAATTTGATTACATTATTAATATAGACAATCTCTGAAACTCACCTGAAAGAAACAGATCTTTTTAGTCACAATGCCTTATAATGTACATTTCATCATGTAGAGAAACATTTCCCATGTTACATTAAAACTATCAGTAACTAATGGTTGTACATTAATTGGTAAAACAGTGAGCTTCAGCTGTAATTTACCTCAATGTACATAATTGAAATATTAACACTAGAACATAAACACCACTGAATTGAATCCTGAAATTTAAAAACACAACTTTCCACAATTAAATCACCATCATAAAATACACTAACATACATTAGTGCATAAACACAAGTTATCATTACAGTAGTCAAAAGGGACATTAAAATCCAGTATTTAGGTTCCCTATGGATCAGTCAGTCATAAATCTATTTATGAGTTATTAACTCTAAAATAACTAATTTGTTTACATACCATTCATTAGTGTTGGGGTGCACATACTGTATCATATTGAATAAATTTGTTTTGTTTTCCTGTTACAACACTCAGTGTAAAGAACCAACTTAAAAGCACAGGCTGAGATCACTCATTTTCTGTGTAATCAGCATAGGAATCCCCAGCAGAAATCAATAAGATTAATTACAACACTGACAGCATTTTTAACTTTTTTGTGGTACTTTTACATTTTTAGAGGTCCTATACCAACACAATCATAGACTGACAAGCTATATAAAGAATAAAAAGTTTACAGAAATGGGTATAAACATTTAGTAGGATTTCTATAGATCCACCAAAAATTCTTGGGTTAAAAGTTGGTTAAACAGCACTGGAATTTAAATATAGTTAATAATGTGTCTAGCAGTTTGTACTTGGAATGTGGAATCTTTTTTTTATGACAGGTGATAAAGTAATATTTATTTATATATGGAATGAGAAAAAAACAGGAAAAAACTTACGTTGAAATAGCACAAAAATGTAACTATCAGAAAAACTTATTGAGTCATCATTGATCATTTTGTTAAGAAGTTTGTTTTTGTTGATAAGTACAGAGTTTCACAACTGGCTATCTTTGCTGTGTTCACCATTTTTATTTGCTTGTTTGCAATTAAGCACAAAGTTACACAATGGGCTATCTGTGCTCTGCCCACCACAGGTATCAAAACCTGGATTCTAGCATTGTAAGTCCACAGCTATCAAAACCCAGTTTTTAGTGCTATAAGCCTTCAGACCTACCGCTTGTTAGAAAGAATACCCACAAAACATATATTTATGAACTCTAGTAGATTTGTATCATTACACATTAACTGAGCTGATTTTATGTTTATCATCTCAATCATAGTATTACAGCATGAACAGATTTACTGTTACGTAATCCTTATGATTGAAACAAAGGCAACTCTAATTAATCTTTTTTATAAAAAACAAAAACAACAGTTAATGAATAATTTCAATAAAAAAATCTCAAAGTGAGTAACATAAAAGTTTAAAATTGGCAGCATATTTTGAAATAAATATATATCTGATATGTTAACAGAAATACTTATTAGCCCATTGACTGCTCATTTCCCAAATAGGGTATGGTCTGCCTCTGGCAATTGAATGCAAGCATAGTGTATACAGTGTACAGATCTCAAAAAAATTTGTGCACGTCTGAAGCAGCCATAGTCAAATGATTAATATAAAAATTGCAAATACCTTTGTTTTTAAACTTCATTTATTTATGAGGATTGTTTTAAGACATTCAGCATAAGCATAGCTACCACAACTGGGCTGTACCATGTAGAACCAACCAATTAAGATATTCAGATGCAATAGCTGATGACTTCAACTGTGTGATAGTGAATCAATATTAATCAGTGGTAAACAGATAAGACTTTGGATTTCATCTTCTAATTACTAATAGAAAGTGTGCACTTACTTAAGTTTAATAGTTCTATTATATGATGACTGAATAACATTTAAAACATTGTAAAAGATAATTAAACCATAATAATTAAAACAGGAGCCAAGTGTGATCCAGTGATTAGCATGTTGGACAATGGATCCAAAGATTCTATGGTTTGTGCTCCATTGCTGTCAGAAAAGAAAAAATTAAACTTGACACTTTGGAGTTACGGTTGTGTTTAAGAGTGATGGTCAAATCATTATTTGATTAGGGTAGCCCTTAAGTTGACAGTGGGTGTTGTTGAATAGCTGCCTTTCCTCTAGTCCATCACTTCAAAAATGAGGACATGTAGCACAGGTAGCCCTCAAGTAGCTTTGTGCAAAAAATCAACAAAATAAACTTTATTAATGTCCTAACAATATTCTCTAGCCCAAGAGCATTACTGCAAAAGTATGATAAAGACAAAATTACCTTACTTTTTTACAGTTTTTTGTTGATTCTTCTACAACCTGTCCTTCCATCATTTTGTTTTACATTAAATTTAGGCTGGAAAAAAAATGCTAAACATTCAAGTTAGACTAGTTTTCTCCTGCATGCTATGTCTTAGAAGACAAGGTTACTGGTTAAAATCATATCACATAGGTTCCTGCTTGAAGACAAAAGTTTCTTCAGACATATAGTAGATTCCTATACCTATTTTCTAAGTAAATGGTAAGAAAAAAAAAAAGATTTATGCTCAGTTCATTATTCCACAACAAATTACACTCATTGCTAATTAGGTTTAGGAAGAAATTAAAATATATTCAGTGAAAATTAGGAAATAATTTTAAACAATTGATATAAACAATCTCTATTTATTAGTATTTCTTATACATGAAGTCTTTTTCTTTTAACTATACCTGAAATATGAAAATTCCTTAAACTTAACATATTTTCTTAGTGTCAGTCAAAGATTTATCAACTATACGGCAGATGTTTTAATAAATTTTTGTTTTCTAACGTGTGTCCATAATTTATTTAAATGCTACTAATTTTATTTTTTTTCTAAACAATTATATGTTCTCCCAATAAAGTATAATTTCTTTATCTGTACATGATCATGGCTATTGATCATATTAAATTTTTCTGCCCACACACAGCTCCTAAGCAACAAAACAGTATTCACTTTTATTTTCTTTATTATACATATACTGAATAATACTTCAGTTGTAAAAACCCTAGTTTGTTAGATGTAGTGACATCTTAAAAGTTGATACACCTCATGTTTTCGTTATAACTTTGCATCTTGAACAGAAGGGAACCACTGACTGAAATTTCCCCACCTATTTAATAAATGATATTCACATGTAAATGCCATGTGACATGTTCATACAACCATACTTTACAGGAAGAGAAACCCACACCATCACTGAAGCCTAACACAATTACTGGATACATTAAATTGCTGGAAACAAAATACTAATTAAAGAAAGGCTGTATGTTAAGAATCACACAGTTCTCAAATTATTGATATTTTATCAGAACATACACAACAAAGTTTAAATAAAGTTCAGTTACCTAAATTGTGAGTAAAATTTCAGTAGCTGTTTGCTGATTGTTTAATATAGGCTTCATTTGAAGAATTAGAAGTGTCTCCTTTACCCATAAGCATAGTCTTGTTTTTGGCTTTATCAAGTTAGTAACACATCACATTCATTTAATGCATGTTGAACAATGCTTGAGCTGTTCTTGAACCTAGGATTACTCTTCCTTTAAACAGGCCCAGAATGGCCAGGGCGCTCAACTCGCAATCTGCGGGTCGCGGGTTTGAATCCCCGTCACACCAAACATGCTCGCCCTTTCAGCCATGGGGGCATTATAATGTGACGGTCAATCCCACTATTCATTTGTAAAAGGGTAGCCCAAGAGTTGGCGGTGGGTGGTGATGACCAATCCTTTAAACAATCTCCCAGTCTTCTAAAAGTGAGCCAACTTAAGTACACCCACACAATGGGCAGCAGAATTCATAAATAACAAATGACTGTTGAGAAAAATGGATACTGTTAGAACTGGAAAATCTTTTACAGGAACACTACAATCTTAGATTCAAGACAACAAAGTTTGTTTAATCATTTGTTTATGATGGAAGAACATGTTTACTGTTGTAAAATGGAATGTTCTCACATGTCAAATATTTGTTAAAACAATATTATCCAGTCCTTCACATTTGAAAAATGCAGAAGGGCTGTTAACAGCTCCTACCAAATACTTCACAGGGGCTGTTAGTAGGCTGATGTCATATCTTAATCCTTTGTTTACAAAATTGGACAACAGACACTGATTTATATTGACTGAATACACAAAACAGTTTTGCTGGTTAAACTGAAACATGTTCACAGCATATCAATGAACAATGATGACCTCCAATGAATATGGCAGACCATGTGTCATGCAGAAATTAGTTCATCAAATGCAATTTAGGTCATGATCATATTCTTTAAAACTCTTCTTGGTAGCCTGAATTTACTAATAACTAATATCCACTTTTTGTAATTTAAATGTTAAAACACTGACTTAAGTTTCTCAGCTACAAATATTTGATGTCTCTATACAAAAATATAGCTTGAAAATATCTAGGCCAAATAGCATTAAAATATCAAAGTCATAGCAGCCAACAGGGTCACACAAAGTTATTTGTGAGCTTGTCTGTGTATACAAATAGATGATTGCATGGCCAATGCAATGATAAATAATAACAAAATCTGAATTCAGAACTATTTATTTCTTGGTAAGAATAAAAGTATCAAAGTGGGCCTAAAACAGCAGGCATCATGACAGGCTTGACATGGGCTCTAACAAAAATCTCAAGAGCATACTGTGGATTGAAAGCTCACAGTTTTAAAACAATACTAAAACTATTACTAATACAATTCTGTCAAGCTGTGCATGCTCATCTTTACCTTCAGTC